CTATATATAAATGTATAAATTACATCGTTGTCCAGCTTTTTTCTTCGTTTCAAATATTATTTTGTTATACATTTTCCTCGTCACCTATTGATATCTTCATATGTAGGATTATGTAACGTTCTTATCTTCGATCCCAAATTCCGCATTTCTTTTGTCCAGTTTAAGCAGACTCACGTAAGATCCAAACATTGGCCGATGATGTCACCTCATATTAAAAATTTACTTTCCAAAATTCGTCATATTTATCGTGCAATTAAGACACATTTATAAACCTAATTTTTAATATACGTTTAAACTCCGTTAACATTTGAAGGATTAAACATATGCACAGACGCAATATGTTATATATCTCACGTTCATATGAAGCCAATTCAGTCCCATGTGTAGACGTAGCCTCCCGCCGGTAGATGTCGCTGTCATTACTGTCTCTCGGCAAAACTGGCTATTTTGAGATTCTTTGAATCACTACATGTCGAGTTGCCAGCAAAGAGGCGATAACTAGGTGGGTGGATATAATCTGTCCACTGTCATTCTACAAATTAGGATCTTAGTCACAAGAAAAAGAGGCAGACAGAATAGAGAAATGGTCTGATAACGTCACTGAGTGGAATGAAGGATCATTCAAAGAGATTTAAACATTGTCAAGCCACAGAGACATAGGAAGGGAACCGGTTAGTTACTCAGCTACACAGCAACCCAGCAACCACACACGGGTAGGGAACTGATGATGATAACGACGTCAATGATGATGATGATAGGAGGAGGGTGTTGGTGATGTTCATTCTGATGTAATATTTTATAGCCATTTTAAAATGTTGTTTCCTGTAATGAAAGATATTTCATTCAGTACTGGTAGTAATTTGTATTTTTTGTAATTTGTAACTTGTAATAGCTTCAAATATTTTGCGTCTTTCCTTGCAGTGAGTGTTGTGTAATAGTTTGTTAATATCAAATTAATTGAATTCTTTCGGCCTTTAAGCACATTTCTGTATATCACCAATATTCGTAAAACATATACTTAAAGAATGTAAGATCTCACCATTTGCAGATGATGGGTCCTTGTATTAACCATTCACTTTAAGTATTTTATCATATTTATTATGCAATTAAATGCATACAATAATATATCCAATTTCTAACACGCACTTAAATTACATTAATATTTCAAGAATTAAACATACACAGACACGCAGTGAGGCATATACAACACAGCGAAAAAAATTCGTGTCACCTTGCATTTCTTTTTTTAAAAAGTGCCTTAAAATGAAATCATTTTGTATTTTCTTAAAAGTTGAAGATAAAATTTCAATAACTACAGTGTATTTGCTTTTATTTTTCAGTCTTTTTCCAGGCTCCTCTTATTACCAAAAAGTGCAAATTTGGATTCATCTGTTCACAATGCAATTTACTAAATTATGAATATTTTGTATGAGAAACATTTTTTCACCATTAACCTCTCAGTGGACCTTTTGAGATTACCAAAATGTTCAACTAAGTTAAATGTTAATACAGGTCCTATATGTTAACTCAGCACTGATTAATGTTGTATACAAAACATATTCAGCTGTCTCTGTTTGAAAAAAAAACATTGTGCCATCACGACAGTATTTTCATAGTTTTTTTCTTATTTTTATCTTTGAAGTTATTTGTGCAAAATGGCAAAATCAAAGAAGATTAGTTTTGAGGCGAGGGCCTAAACTGAAATGTTATTTAGAGAAGGCTACTCTCAAAGACAAATTGCCAAGAAGTTCAAGATTTCTTGACGTGGGGTGTAATATCATTACAAAGGCAATTAGAAACAGGTGCAAATGTATTACAAATTTCATTAACTACAATGTATTTGCTTTTATTTTTTTAGCCTTTGTACAGGTCCCTCTTACTACCAAAAGTACAAATTTAGTTTAGTCTGTCCCAATAGAGAAGGGTGCAACATTTGTAACAAAGGCAATTAGAAACAGGTGCAAATGTATTGCAAATTTCATTAACTACAGTGTATTTACTTTTATTTTTTTAGCCTTTCTACGGGTTCCTCTTAAAGTTCAAATTATAAATTACTAAAGTTTTCATTTCGAAATTCCACGAAGGTTTTCCGGATCGAAAAGCACCTGATGAAGGCCGGAGTGCACGACGGCCGAAACGTTGTGATTATAACAACTAAGAAGAGGACAATAAACCGCTTTTAAATAATGCAAATAAAATTAAGGAGAAATCTACACTTAAATAGTTGATAGAAACCAGGCCTATAGTCTGAGTCTAAGTCATGTAAATAATAAGTGCAGTATATGGATAATGGCTCGGATTGAGGAATAGGAGAGCCGAGTTCGAATTCCGGTCGGATCAATTACATTCACTTACGTACTAATACCCTTGGGAAAGGTAGGAATCATCTTCTTCTCTCCCTTTCCCAGCAATAGTTAAATAGAAGGGTTCTATAACCTTGGTTGGCAATCGGTCTAGGAGAAATAACCGAATTCAAAATTGTATGCAGCCCAAGCGTAGCACATACTATACAGCTAAAGAAATGATCGTTCGCATTGGCCCGATTATTCCGTCTGATGTGAAATAATGATGAACTAATAACTCAGACAGATCAATAATAAATTCAGACAGAAACTGCTCGGTGCTATTTCAGGCTGTCTATTTATTTCATTTTTTCAACTGGCCTCTTTATTTCAATCTGTTCTCCTTCATTTTTCTTTCGAAGACAAATGAATATTGATTGAATTTTCCAACCTACCCTTTTATACCAACCCCCGGCTTTTATTCAGGATTTAAGAGCGTAAAAGAGGGGAAAATCATTGAATGAACGGCTTGCACTAGAATGGAAACTCCACCGTCTGAAATCCAGATGCCCTGCCATTTGAATAAGCAAACATATCGTTTATGATGGTAGAACGAGATTTCGTGTAATGAGATACAATGGCGAGACTGACGCCATTTTCCACGGTCAGTTTTCAGTGAAGACAATCTCAGAATGGAATCTGGAAGCAGTGATGAAAATAATGGTGAAAGACGACTGAAGTGCGAAAAGTCAAAACTTTTTTAATGAGAGACAAAAGTGAAGATAAAGTCGGAAAGAGGAAACCTCGAGCCAAATGACAATGATTAATGACTGCAAGTAATAAGATGGCGCTTTCTAACTTATTACTAGTCGGTAGCGTCCAGATTGGCGTCACTATCGTCTATTTTACTCTGTATGTCTTCTTCTTACCAATGTCTACCCGCCTTTCCCTTTTAACGTTTTCAAATATCTAGTCAAATGTTGTATTGTCAAGACTAAAGGTAACTCATTTATGTTTTCTCCCACTCCCAAATTTCAAAGAATGGGAATTCTTTTCCAAAGGCAAATATTCGTTCTTCATGAAGTATGAATTATTATTATTATTATTATTATTTAGAGTTTTTATTTGCTTTTTGTTACAATCCTTTGCCATCTCTTTTACGTGAGACTTGAAGCAAACGAAGGTTTTTCTTTCTTTTCTTTCTGTTGTTTTAATCATTTCGCCCCAAGGAAAGCTATGATGTCACAAAGACGAAAAACGGTTACTGAGGGTGACAGAAAATGAGAAGGAACCGGAAACAAAAATCCTAAACAGGAAACAAGGAATATACCTCCACTCCTGTTCAAAAGACGGGTACATCCGTCCGCAAGACTTTTTGAGTAACATGGAACCACCTCTTAATTGCTGTTATTTCCAGGTCCATCATGACCCGGGATAGTGCTCTATTAGGGTCCCAGCTATGGGCAGATAGGGAACCCCCAAATAAAAATAATAGATTATAAAATACCAGGAATACATTTTTATATAAAAATATTACCAACAATACATATCTATAGTAAAATTACCAACAATACACACATACTAACAAATTGTACCAACTTCACCCAAATCAATTCAAAATATTGCCAAACAAACAACATGAAAGAACACTTTCATGACATTCATATAATATCCTGCAATTCCTTAAAGAAATCAAACGATATTCTAAAATATAACTTCAACAAAACTACAACATAAAACATACCTCTAGTAATTATGTCCACACAAACATGTATAGGAACAAAAGCTGAGTATCATCTGCCATGTATTCAAAGAATAATATATATCGTATTTTTATTACTTCAGACCCCCCAAGAAAATTAAATTTCAGCATTAAATGACCCATAAGGAGTTGATATGCCGTTAAACAGATAATTCAATCAAAAATAGGGGAAGGTTTGTGAACCAGGCGATTGAGCGTATTACATCGAAAAAGTTTTGTTTTACTGAATATTTTAGCGATGTTATCAGCAGAAACTCTTGTATCTTACATAATGATGAGTTTCTTGTAAGTTTCTTAATGGTTTTATCAGTCTTATTTTTTGTTGTGACCAGGTACCTGGTTAAGTAATAACAAAAACCAGGTTTTCAGATATATCGTATATTTAACAGTATGTGCAACAGAAAAGTATTACACGACTAGTGAGAGTGTATCGAATGAACTAGCACTCAATCTATTCACTGTCCACTGTTCCTTCTCTCCTACTAAACTTATAGTAGGCGGAAGAGTCTAATATAGACTCTTAGAAAGAGGACACCACAATATTTTTAAACATTCCTAGTGTTCCTATCATCATTGGAACTATGGTATTTTAAATGTCACGTTCTTGCAATTTCTATGTCCTTAAGTTTTGAAATTTTGCGAATTCTTTTACTGAGATCATTATATCAAAAGGTAGGGTCAAGTCTGCAAGATTATAATATTGTATCTGATTTATTGACTTGTACAGTACATTCTGTGCATGTTCCGAAGACCCAGAGCACTGTAATTTTGTTTATACCATTTTATTTTGCATAGAACAAGTTATAATATTAACCTATCTTTCAATGTACGTATTTCCCTGCCATATTCTTTTCTTTCTTCAATATGTCGTATTGTCTGTCCAACTTTCTAATCCTTTTGAAGCGCTTAGTAAAGTTTGCTATATCTCCTAATCCCTCTTCAGTCAAAATAAGACTTACGGCCACATCACATTGAAACACCAGTTCTCATTCGATCACCGAAGTTAAGCAACGTTGAACCTAGTCAATACCTAGATGGGTAACTGCCGGAGAATTCCAGGTGCTGTAAATTTGGATGTACGGATGAAAAGCTCGAAATGAAAAATCGGAGAGCCGAGTTCGAACTCCAGTCGGGTTCGTTATATTCACTTACGTGTAAATATCCTTGGGAATCCAATTCTTCTCCTCCCACACATGTAATCTCTTCAAAATTGGTATTAAATTGTGCTATGGGTTAAATAGTAAAACCTTTATCATGAAATTATTATCATCACCAAAAAAACTCTTACAATCTAAAAATATGTATCGGCTGTAAATAATCTTATGAGGTTGCTAAGCCGTAAAAACCAAACCAATTATTAAAAAATCTATTTACATAATCTCGTTAGGTAGACTATACACTGTTTCTTTCTGTCACTCTTTTCTTCACTGTCCTGTAAGTGTCAATTTTTCCAAGCCGTCCTTTCTCATTATATACCCTAGTAATTTCAGCTGTCTGTTTCTGGTGCTATATGTAAGTGTTCTTTCTGTTACCGTTTTCTCTAAAACATCGTCGTTTCTCACGAGTTCAGTATTCTCAGGATCCTTCTGTAGTGCTGCCTGATGTTTAGTCCTTTCTTCTCACTCTTCTTTAATACCTTCTTCGGAGTTCCTGTACGTTCTGTGCCTGTTATCAACGCTCTGGTACCCCCATATATTATGTTAAGATCGTGGCCACTAAAGAATCCTGGTAGGACTTGTAATCTAATTCGCATGGGATACCCAGACATTAGATGGTCTTTGTTTTTAATCATTTCACCCCAAGCAGGGCGGGTATGCTACTAGTACACAGGGATTTTACAAGGAGTGAAAGTGAATGAAAAGAATGGGTATAGAGAGGATTGTGGAAGGGACAAAAGATAAACGTGATTCATGAAGATTGAAGTTAGCGATTGATTTGCATTTGAATTTTTGAAGGTTAGAGTTATCAGGGAAGCCAGTAAACTGAAGGGAGTTCCACAGATGGAAAGTGCGAGAAAAGAAACTGTTGATGCAGAAATGACGGTTTCATTCCAACAGTAAACAAATGGGACCAAAATGCCAACCTAGTAGCATGCTTCAATTCATGTAGTCAGGTCACCAGGGGAAAAAAGCTCGTTAGAGCAGTTACAATGAAAGTATGCGTAGAAGACAGAGGGAAGCCACGTCAGGTCGGTGAGAACGTGACAGATCCTTCTTTCGAGATTGTTAGCAGGAGCATCAGACCAGATATGGTAAGAGTATTTGATGCATGAACGAATTGTAGATTTGTAAATTTGCAAGATGAATTCTGATGCCTTTTCTGGCACGGCACAGTGAACGAAATTTCTTTGCAGTAGATGCAGCTATTGATTCTATGTAGTCGCTCCACTTCAAGTGTGTTGAAAACGTCAGGCCAAGATGAAGGGCAGAAAAGTTGCTCTATGATTGTTAAATGAGAGCATTTGTTGAGGCCTTATAATTTAGATTTATAATTATAATTTCCTGTCCAGTTAACCACAGTTCCTTTTCAAGAGCAGCAGACAGGTTTACTTTGTTTATTATTATTATTATTATTATTATTCCTTTGAAATCTGGTGTGAACTCATTTCTTTCCGGGTCTCAACCAGAGACATAAGGCAACGCGATATTTTCCATCTAGCAATTAAAAAGACGCACACACATATTTTACATAAATAGAGCCCTTCGTAAGATGTGGGCTGTACTCGTGAGAACAATTTTTATATTTCTTCAAGGCATGGGCTGCCAGAAATCCCTTCAATGAGTCTACTGAAATCCAATCAATTTTTTTTCCAATCAATTTTAGGGATCCAACTACAACAGGGATTGTTGATGTCCTCATGTATCCCATTTTTGAGATTTCGATTTCAAGGTCCTTGTATTTTGATGGCTTTTTGAAGGATACATTGCAGTCTGCATCAACTACCATTTAAAAAGAAGACACATTTTGTCTTTGCAGTCTCTAATAACAATGTCTGGGCGGTTAGTTTTGATTGTTCTGTCTGTGTGTCTTGTAAAATCTCATAAAATTGTTACAGGTCCTATCTCCGTAACCGGATCTACCTGATGTTCATACCAATTTATTATTATTATTATTATTATTATTATTATTATTATTATTATTAATCACGCATATGATGTTGGTTATGCCCCCAATCTTGACTTAAGAAAACAAACCGTTCATTTTTTCATCAAAAGGCTGTTCGCAATTCTTCCCAAAGTATTACCGCCATTCCAAATAGGCATGTTCATTGCAATGATGGCCCTATTACCAGATCACAGTTCAATATCTGCAACTTTTTTCATGTTTTCTACAACACCCAAGTGCTCCTAGGATTGTCGTCAGTTTTATCTCGTATCCAAGAATTTAATTCCTGCTTTATTGATCGCTTCCTTTACGATGATGGTGTTGATGACTAAATTCGCCGTCAATGTGGAGGTTCAGAACTAGAAGCTTCCAGTTTCACCAAAACCTGCTTCTCTCATCCATTCCCTATCACCGTTTAGCTTTGCAAGAGTTGGTTGGAGATGAAAGAAAATCAGAGTCGAAATGTCACTTGCGTGAATTTGTTTAAGGTGACCCGCAACTTGCCAGGAAGTGACCCACATACTTGATTTCATGACCTTCCTCTGCGGCACATATGAAATAAGACATGCACAATCCAGATAGAAAACTGAAACTAACTACCGCTGATTCTGTTATAATTTCGAGTGGCGCCTTCTATAGCATATCTGTGAGGCGCAGCCCTCTTCATCTGCTGGTTTAACGGTTGAGTTATGTTTTGGGTTGGTTAGTGATCCTTGGTACTGTAATTATACTCTTTGCTAATCCTTCCAAAACTTTAAAAATTTTATATTTCAAATCATTGTAGTGAATGCTGTAAAATCATATCACATATCACGAAAAAAAGTCGAGACACAGAAATGTGATTCTACAGAAGGATGCTGAGAATACCATGAACTGAATATGTGAACAATGACGAAATTTCAGAAAAAAGGCAAACAAAAAAAAAAAACTATGCATAAAATAAGGAAGAGACGGTCGAAATTTCTAGGGCACACAATGAGGAAAGAGGGCTTGGAAAATCTGATACTCTCAGGATATATTTTTTCTGTTTGCCCAGAAGGATTATAGTTGGTTCAATGCGTTCTTAACTTATTTTTTAGCCGAATACCCAACAAGATTTCCATATTGCTATTCTCCTTCACTTTCTTCTCATTATTGATCACATGTTCATAATATATTCGCAAAGTTTCTCTTAGTACATGTATTGAATAATAAATAAATAAGTAAATTTAACATGCCTTTATTTATTTTACTTATTCAGAACCATAAGCTTGCTCTATTAATATTTCTATTATTATTAGTAGTAGTATTTCCTTTGATTCTTTTTGTAAGCACATTTCATTCCGGGTCCCAACTAGAGACCTAAGATCAGAATTAGCATCATGGCATTTTCCCATGTTTAAAAAAAAAACACAGTTTACATAAAACTCTTCGTAATTGTGTGTGCTATACTTGTGAGTAGAATCTTTTGTATTTCTTTAAGGTGTAGGCTACAAAGAGTCTGTTGGAACCTTTTCCAATCAATCTGAAGGCTCAAACTACAACTAGAATTATTGATATACTCATGTACCACATTTTTTAGATATCCACTTCAAGATCCTTGTATTTTGATAGTTTTTTGAAGATCATCAAAGATACACTACAATCTGCAGCCATGTCAATAAGATAGCACGTTCTGTTCTTGTGGTCTTTGATCACGAGATCTGAGCGATGATTGTTCTGTCTTTGTTTATTTTAAAGTCCCATAAAATCGTTACATGTCCTTTCTCTGTAAACGGATCTGGATGATGTTCATACCGGCTTCTTGCAGTTTCCTTCCTGTAAATGTTGTATATTTTCAAATATTGGCCCACTTTATCATGCCAAGTCTTATATTCAGTTAGTACTAGTGTTGTTGTAGTGTTAATAAGAATGGGCCATTTGTAAATGTCTGCTTATGGCTGCGTGAATAACATGACTGCACAATTTATATTTAACGTAAAATATCACAAAATATGAAATACAAGGAATAAAAGGTTTTATGACAACAAAAATTTATATTTTTATGTAACGGTGTACATGCATAGAGTTTTGAAGTTATGTCCCTTTGACTGTGAAATATTTTTATCTGAACTCACAAAAGTTGAATGAATTATAAAGCTTAAAAATGCTGAATAAACTTTAGCTTTATAAGATTATTTCAAAGAGAAAAGTTCTTGTTGCATGTTCTGTATGTTTGTAATGTAGTTTGGAAAATTTTCGTACGTACGTGCATGAGTGAAAATGCTTTTAGCGTCTGACCACCCATGGTCGAGACGAGAATCATTCAAGGTCACATCTTTGCAGGAAAAGAGAAAGAGCAAACTCGTGTCTGCAATTTATAATTAATGTAATCACGTGACAACCTGATAAAAGATGGTCAATTGTTTCTAGATATTTATCATAGAATCTGCATCTGCGTCAGTATGTGTGCTTGGTTAGCAAGCATCGGTCCTGTGCAGCAATGATAGAAACGTTGTTTTCAGCTTTTAACCCTGCACGACACAACCACTGATTGGTTAGGACTTTGTTTACATGAGCTTGTTTCGTACGTGCACAGTATTGAATATGAAGAGGCTTATCTTGTCATCATTTGTTATTATTATTATTATTACTATCATGCTTGCTATGATCTTGTTAGAAAGTAATTTTAAATGTCTAATTAACAAGTTTTCTTCAGGGTCTTTGAGTAAAAATGGCGCTTTCGGAGAGTTATCTATACACATTTTGGACATTTCATTTAAATGGGGAGGGTTTTGCGGAGGTTGTATACAGTTCCGCTCAAAGTAATCTTTCGTAACTCTGATGTGTCCAAGAATTTTGCTCGAATGATTTTCGGCCCCCTTCTTTATCATACCCCACCCCACAGGGACAATTGTAGTTTTAAGTTTCCACATTTTTCTTACTTCGATTTACAGATTTTTATAATTCAATAGTTCTTTATATTCTTTTTTTAGAAACTGTG